CCAAGTTATGGAGGGATGAGGGTTTCCAAGTACTGGGCAAGGAATTGCTGCTGGATCTCCCTCAGACACAGCAATAGTGTAACCTTCACTGGTAATCGCTGGGGGATCTGAAGAGACCAAACAAAGGGAAAACGCAGAATGAGGCCTTTGATGTCAGAACCATAACTACTGTTGCTTAAAGTGCAATTTTGATGTCACAAAAATGCTTGTAACTGGTGCAGATATTCTGTTCCTGTACAAGATCTCTGTTGTATAATCTCACTGGAATATTTTGAGTTTTCCACTACAATTAAAAATTCATCATCACACTAAACCTGCGTGGAGTCTTTTCAAAATGCAAATGACATTTATCTTTTTTTTTTAATGATATATCCCCGCATTAGTCGTCATGGCAAGCTAGTTCCAATGCAATACCGAAAATACGAATATTACCTCTTCGTTCATGAACCATTTCATTGGTACAGGTGTAATAAGGAATTTGTTATATCAGATTAGTGGTCAATATAATGATAATCACCGAAAGATTAACAAAAATTCATTCAAGGGCGGCTGGGAGATCCCGGATTACGGAGTTGTACTTGTAGAATCATGCCATATCCCTTAATAACAGGCTGGTAGAGGACTTCCAGGTTCTTAAAGAAGCCACTGCAATGAATATTGAGAATACGATGGAGGCAGCGCTGATAAAGGCGTTCGAGTAACATGGCGGCCATACGTGCACCAGGAATGGCATTGTACAAGAGAGTAGTCACCTTCTCAGATCTGTATATAATAATAATAATAATAATAATAATAATAATAATAATAATAATAATAATAAGCTGATCTTTGTGGGATTTTTTTTCTTATTGCTGTTGTTCCAGACTCGTTTGCAGTCTCCATGGGCGGAGTTTGCATTGGCCAGTCTATTGTCTACTTCTTAGTCAATCTTAGACTACGAAGAGACTGTGCAACCCATATAGGTGAACTGGTAGACAACTCTCAGCTTGGTCTGGTCAATGAAGATTCTTGGTTGATACTACTCTTCATGGGAGGTGGGGAAGGGGAGCTGGGAGGCTTGCCGATGAAAGACGTTTTTTATAGGCTGACTAAAAGTTCGGAAAGCAAAGCTTTTTTTCTGAGCAGGAAGCTATTCGCTGCAACGCTGTTTAGTTTCAGTGTGGGGGACGTGGGGGAGGGGCGGAAGGGAAGCGTCATATGAGTAGCTCACTCATCAGCTGTTCCAAGGTCTTCCTTTGGCCTTGTAGACGTCTCAGGTTGAGCAGACTCCCATCACGAATTCGTATGTATACGAATGCATTTCCCGTCATCTTCGTCCAAGTCTCACCTGACCCCTTGGAGCATCATTCTGAAGAGGATTGTGAACGGTGTGAGAGCAAGGAGGCGGCTCCGTTTGAAGGCTTGTGATAGGTCGTTGCTTTGTCTGATCTTGATGGATCGTGTTCAAAAAAGTGGTGGGCAACTTGGCTTTCCCGCGATTCTCCAAAGACCTTTTCTGCTCACGGGTGCAAATGTCTAGAACAGATCAATAAATGTGTTCGACTCTTCTCCTACGTCCGTCTCCAAGTCTGTTTTGCCACGGCTGGTTCTAAAGCCACATTGGCTTCCAGAAATTTTAGCTTCCACGATGAACGATATAAGCCTATTCAACAATATTCTTAAATAAATTTAGCTGCGATAAAGAGCTCCATTTTCTCCTTTGTTCTTGTATAGGGTAATAATAACTTCAACAAAACATTCGTGTACCCTGCTCCTACGACTGACAAAGACCTCGCGTAGAGATTGGTATGGAGAGCTGAATCTCCATTTTTCTAAACCTCTCCGCTCTTCAGTTGTTGTTCTATCCCGCAGTTCTATTGTCTCATCAAGTTCAGTTTTCACTGGCCGTTGTGCAATGTGAAACTTGCAGGGTCACGAACAGCGCGTTTAGTTGGCACTGAAGAGGGTGTGGAAGTACGCAGAACAGCGGCTAAAAATAGAATTCTTATCGGTGAAAGCTACTTCCCTTATTTCGTCTGTAAGGTGTCCACTTGCGGTAACAGTGGCCCGTAAAGAGCTTCCGAGGCTTCATAGAAATGAAATAAGAGATGAAATGTGATGAGAGATGACTCTTTATTGAACACTCCCCTGACTGCTTTTGGGAGACCAATACAAATTATGTTAAAAACCCAAAATAAACATATGTTATTGGCCGGCTGGGAGGTCCATATAGGGAAAAACTGTGACCGAGGTCTTGAAAATGCTGCCCTCGGCCTGCGGCCTCGGGCAGCATTTTCA